CTTTGGGAGGGTGAGGTGAGTGGATTGCCTGAGCCCGTGGGTTCGAGACCTGCCTGGGCAACTTGGCGAGACCTCATCTCTACAATAAGTCAAAAATTAGCCGGGCGTGGTAGCACTCACCTGTAGTTCCAGCTACTTGGAAGGCCCTGAGGCGGAAGGATCGCTGGAGCCCAGCAGGTCGAGGTTGCAGTGGCCGGGAGTGGCCACTGCACTCCAGTGTGGGTGACAGAGTGAGACTCCAACTCAAAAAAAAAAAAAATATAATACTGAGTGATCTATCACAGAAACAAAGAACCGAGTGTCACATGTTCTCACTATAAGCGGACCTAGAAAAACTATTGTATTACTACTAGAAAGGGATTTGGCAGTAGTGAGAAACAGCCAGGGAAGGGTGGGGGCGGGATTGGCAGTAGTGGGAAACTGTGGAGATCGGGAGGGAGTCACACCTCATCAACAAGGGTACAAGGTTCATTATGTAGATAATGAACAATTGTATACCTAACCCTGAATTGTATCCCACGTATTTAAAATGAAAAATTTAAAAATATACAGATAGATAGGTGAAAACATAAAAGAACATCACTTATGTGGCCATATAATCTCATCAACAGTTGAAAGTAATTGAGCCACATTGTGATGCAGAATCATATATTAAACCTTGGAAGAGACTTGTAATCATCTTACCCAATTTCTTATACAACCTGGAGGGATTAACCAGTTTGTCCAATTGACACGGTTGGCAAGCTGGAGTTAGAATTCAGGTTCCCTGAGATTCTCTCACCCAGGATTCTTTTCACCATTTTCTACTATTTTCCCCGCAAAATCAATCACTTGTAAACTCTGACATTTGACTTTTTAAAATGCGCTTAGCCTGTATCTACTTATAAGGTGAATGTTGTAATCTCTCTGCTGAGGGTTCACCGTCTGCTTGTTGGAAATCATAGTCATTTTTCCAAATGCAGCTAATTATTCTATTATTATTTCTTACGTTTGTTTTAAATTTGTTACTAGATAATATTTGTGAAATACTGTTGTGAATATTTAACTTTTCAACTACTGTGAGGTAGGTATGTATGTGGCATAGTCACTCTCAGCATTGCTGAGCAGCTTTAGAAGTAACTTAGGCATTGATAGGATATGACTCGAGTGCTTCATCTTTATTAGATGTAATTATTTAACGTGTCACATTTTCCTTTCAATAGTCCTGAGACAGTTCAGGAGACCCTAAGTTCTTAAATACTGCCTCTTGTATGTTATGATTACTTTAAGTCCTGTTTTCATTGTTTTCTTGTAGAATCTTTAGACGATTTGACTAATCTGGTGGTAAAGTTATTTTCTGAAGTAGAGAACAAAAATGTCCCATTGCCAGAATTTCCTGAACACCCTTTCCAAGAAGAACATCTTAGAGTAAGTGCATGTGTTTCGGGTATTTTCCCTTTTTAATTTATGGACATAATGTATATCCAGTTTACTAGAGGATAGGTGAAGAATTTGTGGGGTTTCATTATGTAGTTTTTAATATTTATCAAGACAATCAAGTTAATTTCACATTTATTTAGAACTTGAGTCACCAGAAAATATGTTCTGATCTTTTCATGCTGAAAGTAGTTTTGGTAGCTGAAGTCTGTTGAAGCTATTATCCAGCACCTGAAGACAAGCTTCCAGAACTATTTAGTGGCATGGTCCAAGGGGTCAGACATGGACTGCATGCCAGCAAGATGAAATTTCTCTAGGAGAGGACTTGGTCGTTTTTTCTTTGTGGTCAGTGTATGATTTTCTCTGGTGGTTGATTCACTCCTAAATTTGGGATTCTTTCATGAAATTCAGTGATCTTTATAGTTTGTAAATGTTATGTTAAAGAAGAGTTGTACATAGCTAATCTTTTGTGATGTTTGTTCGTTTTTCTCCAGCAACTTTACAAAATAGTACCTATTAAGGATATTAGAAATCTTTATGTGACGTTTCCCATACCTGACCTTCAGAAATACTACAAATCAAATCCTGGTCATTATCTTGGTCATCTCATTGGGCATGAAGGTCCTGGAAGTCTGTTATCAGAACTTAAATCTAAGGGTAAGTCTCCTGGGTAGTAGCTTCTGAGTGTCATGCTCTGCCATATTTATTCACTCTGGCACTCATTTTCTCCTAGTTATCTCCCCGTGAAAGGAAAATTCTTAGATGTGACTGCTTTGAGTTAGTGAGTGGGTTGGTGATTGTTAGTGTGCTTTTGTTTTGGGGTTTTTTGTTTTTATTTTTTCTGTAGTGGTTTTACCCTTTAGTATTGAGCAGTAAAGGTTAGATATTTCAAAATATATCACAGTGCATGTTTTGGGATTGTTTTTGAGTCAGGATCTCATTCTGTCACCTAGTCTGGAGTGCAGTGGCATAATCATAGCTCATGCAATCTCAAACTCCTAGGCTCAAGTGATCCTCAGCCTCTTGAGTATTTGGAACTACAGGCACGCTAATTTTTTTTTTTTTTTTGAGTTGGAGTTGCACTCTGTCGCCCAGACTGGAGTGCAGTGGCACGCCCCCAGCCACTGCAGCCTCAACCTGCTGGGCTCTGGTGATTCTTCTGCCTCAGCCTTCCAAGTAGCCGGAACTACAGGCACGCGCTACCATGCCTGGCTAATTTTTTGATTTATTGTAGAGATGAGGTCTCGCCAAGTTGCCCAGGCAAGTCTCGAACCCACAGGCTCAGGCAATACACCCACCTCAGCCTCCGAAAGCACAGGATTACAGGCTGAGCCACCGAGCCCGGCTTGCCCAGCTAATTTTTAAATTCTCTTGTAAAGATGAGATCTCACTGTGTTTCCCACGCTGGTCTCAAACTCCTGGGCTCAATCCTTCCGCCTTGGCCCCCCAAAGTGCTGTGATTACAGGTGTGAGCCACCACGTCCAACCCCATAGTCCATGTTTTAAGTGAGAAAAAGGTTAAAAGTAAAAACTCACATAGCATATTCTTTGCTATCTTTTTGAAAAGTCAATATACATTATTTCCTTGCTTCTGTTCATCAAATCAGAAAGGTGTAATAGGATCTAGTCAATAGATGATTTCCAAGGCCTCTCCCAACTCCGGCCCTTTATTTTAACTTAACACTTAAGTACAGTAGTTTATTCTTAATTGGAGATTGATTTTTGAGGAGTCTTCAGGAATGCCCCTGACTCCAAAAAATCCCTTAGTCTTTTGCAGCATCTCAAACTGCTTTTTTGAACTGATTTTTTTTTTCCCCAGTCTCTTCTATAAGAGTTCTTTTTAATCTCTTGGGAACATATAGTATGGATTTTTAAAAATGTTCTTGTCTTGGAAGAAGCCTCATGTGCTGTCAATTATGTTGATTTCCTTTGAATATTGCAGGCTGGGTAAATACTCTCGTTGGCGGGCAGAAAGAAGGAGCCCGAGGTTTTATGTTTTTTATCATTAATGTGGACTTGACTGAGGAAGGATTATGTAAGTATTGATTGACCTTTTTGCTTTTGAATGAACATTGACTTCCTGTGATTTTTTAAAAAATTTCTTTATGCTGTGGTTCTGTTTTATGTTGGAAAGCTATAAACACTTTAATTCATAACTTATCCATTGTATTCTTCACGTGTAAACCTGACTTTTGTTTCATGGATTATTTCCCCCTCTTAACAACTGATCATTATGTTGTACTTGTCAAATGTGTATTTGGCTTTTCATTTGCTCATTTTCTCCCCCGGAACCCCTTCTGTCACATATCCCTGAGCCCAGAGGGCCATGTGTGTGGGACACCTAAAACCAGTCTCAGGGAGGTGAGGACTCCATTTTCTAAGAGGGACCATCTTCCACTTACCTGACTTTACCTTAGGACTGAGCTCACTGCTTTGAAGGATTCAAGGACTGAATGGTTTTTAAGTGTGCCCCTTTTTTCCAGTACATGTTGAAGATATAATTTTGCACATGTTTCAATACATTCAGAAGTTACGTGCAGAAGGACCTCAAGAATGGGTTTTCCAAGAGTGCAAGGTACTTTTGTTTCACCAAAATTTTCCTTAAGGAATCTCTTTTTCAAAAACAAATACATGTGAATTAGTTAAAATTTAAGGCCCAGTTTAACTTCTAAAGTTTTTTTTTTCCTAATTGAACTCTAAAATTTTGCAATGCATAGTAGTTAAGGGCTTTACTAGTCAGTTGTACTAGTCTGATTTGCTACTTGGGGCACAGTTAAGGGTTAAGGCATCAAGTAGCCTTTTTTGGGATGGAAAAGGGAAGGAATCAGATTGCTTTTTCCATCCTTCAGAAAACACCAGCCATTCTCTTGCTGGTGTCTGTCAGGGCTTATTATGTTTACTCCCTGCCTGAAGCTGCATGAGCTCTGTCATTTTCAGATCTGTAAAATCTATAGCAAACTCTCAAAGAAATAGTGAATTGCTTTACGTATGATTGTGTTCTTAAAAGTGATTTTATTATTGTGTGTATGGAAAAGCCTGGCTATCTTTTCTTTTTCTTGTTCTTTTTTTTTTGCATAAAACAAGGTGTTGTCTTTCAGATTTTTTAAAGGCTTCTTTTAAAAGGGTTTTTGAATATATATACTTTATATTTAAGGCCTATCAAGATTCTGAAATGTATTTTAGGATGAGTGTCATCCTCTTTAGGTAAATGTTTAAAGGTATAATATCTGCCTGTGAAGATTATGACAATAACTTCTGACCTGGGTGCAGTTCTCTGAATGGGTCACCAAACTCATCATCTGTGAAAGTATTGGATCTCACAAGGTTCTTGCACGCAGTTTTTCTAATTGTTGGCCTATTTTGCTTTTAGTTTTAAGCCTAGGTTGATGGGTTCAATTTTATACACATTAGGAGGGTTTTTTTTTCCATGCTCTGTACATTTCTAAATCAAGCATAGCCATTTTTTTCAGACAGTGTGAGAAAATATGGAGTAGTAAGTTTATATTACAAACCAAACACTAAAAAAAAAAAAGTATTTCTAAAAATTTACTTATGTCTAATTGGATCAACTTTCTGTTTTAGGACTTGAATGCTGTTGCTTTTAGGTTTAAAGATAAAGAGAGACCACGGGGCTATACATCTAAGATTGCAGGAATACTGCATGTAAGTTTGTTATGACTTTATTGTACACATTGCTGTGTAGAGTATTTCAGTGATCTTGCAAATATTACTTTCAGCACTACACACATGATAAAAGTTAAAACTGAAGTATAATCTTTAGAGTTTGTAGCAGCTGGGCAAATCTGATGCCATAATATGTTTAAAACCTCAATTTTCATCATTCTAAAAATGATCGTCTATAGAATTTTCATTACATAGGCATTTTGCTTATTGACTTTATGTATTTTTCAGTTGTACATTGTGTCAAGCATTACCTATGGAAAGCTATAGGTCAGCTGCTTTTCACCGTTTCCATTGCTGCCATCTTAGTCTGGTCTATTCTCATTTCTTGCTTGGGCTGCCATGATAGTCTTTTACCTGAAATCCCTGTTTTTCTTCTTGTTCCCAACTGTAGTTTATTTTTCCAGCCTCAGTGATCTTTGAAAGCTAAAGTCCATTTGTTGTGCTCCTTTTAAAATCCTTCAGTAGTTTCCCATTGTTGTTGACATAAAATCCAAAATTTTCCTCAGCTTCAAGTTGATCTGGCCCTAGCCTGTCTCCATCTCTCCTCTCTGTTCACACTTCACTCCTGCTGTAGTGGCTTTCTGGCTAATGTTCGAGCACTGAGTTGATTCCTCCCTCTTAAGGCCTTTACATTTGCTGTTTTCTCCACATGGAATATTCTTCTGTCTTATCTCTGCATGGCTAGGTTCTTTTTATCAGTTGAACTCTACCCAGATGTCTCCTTAGAGAGAGACCTTACCTGACTTTCCAATCTGAAATAATGCGCCTGTCCTGTTTTTTTTCCCTCCATAGCACCTGTCACTAAAATTACAGTGAGTGTTTATTGTCTGCCTCCTTCCCAATTAGAATGTATATATGCTTCTTGGCGACAGGGACTTCATATGGCTTTTCTACCATTAGGTCCATAGTATCTCAACCAGTGCCTGGCAGAGTAGATGTTCATTAAATATTTGCTGTATTAATGAATCAGTCTGTCCTGGTACATTGGAAGTTGCTCTTACTTGTTTTTTTTATTATTTCTTTTTTATTATTACCTTTTTTTTTTTTTTTTTTTTTTTAGTTGGAGTCTTACCTTGTCGCCTAGTCTGTAGTGCACTGGCATAATCATAGCTCACTGTAGCCTCGAACTCCTGGGCTCAGGCAGTGCTTCTTTCTCAGCCTCTGAGTAGCTAGGATTGCAGGTGTGCACCGCCACACCTGGCTAATTTTTTAATTTTTTTTTTTTTTTTTTAAGAGATGAGGTCTCTCTTTGTTGCCCAGGCTTGTCTTAAACTCCTGGGCTCAAGCAATCATCTTTCCTCGACCTCCCAAAGTGTTGAATTACAGGTGTGAGCCGCTGCACCTAGGCAGAAGTTGCACTTACTAAAAAGTATTTTCTTCAGTATTTTTCTGCACTAGTCAAAAATATAAGCCATTTTCCCCACGACAACTTTCTAAATGCTTGTTTGATTTCTTTCTTAGAAATTTGTGTGTACTTTTTATTAAAAATCCTGTAGGTGTCAGCATTTCACTACCAAATTTTCTTCATAAACAAGTATTCACTTTTTTTAGCCAGAAATATTATTCTTAATCTTCTCCAAAAATAGTGTGATTTTGCTCTCTATAATGTAAGCATGTTTGCGGACTAACAGTGTATTTGCCAGACTCATCATACAATGAGAAACAGTGTAAAGATGTGGTAGGAAAAAGAAAAGAATTCAGGGCTACAGACGTTTTTTCAGTGGGAGTAACATTTAATTGAAGGAAGAGGAGATATACAACGATGGGTTTGATGTGTTCAAAATGTGTTTGCTTTAATTAATTAAACTCTGTTGTAGCCTTGTAAATTTTATTTATTTATATTTTCCTTTTTAAAAGTATTATCCCCTAGAAGAAGTACTTACAGCTGAATATTTACTGGAGGAATTTAGACCTGACTTAATAGAGATGGTTCTCGATAAACTCAGACCAGAAAATGTCCGGTGAGTCACCCTATGGATTTGACGTTACATCCTAGGTTTTCAGTAATGATTTGAATCTGAAATTTTGAAATCATGAATCAGATGCTTCTAACCATGATGACATGTTTACATGATGACATGGAATCCAGGACAATGACAAAAGTAGAGAATAGCATAATGAACCAACACCTCTAAAAGACAGACATTTTAAAAAACATAATTGTAATTTTATTATTATGAGTAACGTATAATAATATATGGTCTTAACCTGGCTTCTTTCCAATGCAAACACCCAAGGTATCAGCTCACCTGTCTGGCTGTTCTGTGCAAGTGAGGGCACCTTCTTTTTAAAATTTTTTTTCTCAACCACTGCCCTACTCTGCCCCCTCCCACCTTTTTTTTTTTTTTTTTTTTTTAAAAAACAATGTCTTGCCATGTTGCCGAGGCTGAACTTGAACTCCTGTGCTCAAGCATTCCTCCTACCTCAGCCTCCCAAGTAGCTAGAACTACAGGCTCAAGCCAATGCACTCAGCATCAGGGAACCCTCCTTTTTTTTTTTTTTAAAGCCACATTAAGGATTACAATCTTAGAATTCTCCTGAGTGACCAGTGGTAATCATAAGTTCGAACTCCTTAGAGTAGCATAGTATACTTGCTAGAGGAAGGTAATCCCTATAGAGCTTGTGAGATACCACATGATATTCTTGCCTTAAAATTGAATTTCATCTATATTTTTGTTGTTTTTGTTTTTGTTTTATTTGTTTGTTTTAAGTCAGGATCTCACTCTGTCACCCAGACTGCTGGAGTGCAGTGGCATGATCATGACGAACGCAGTTCATAGCAGCCTCGACCTCCTGGGCTCAGGTTATCCTTCCGTGTCAGCATCCTGAGTAGCTGGGACTACAGGCAATGTACCACCACACCCAGCTAATTATTAGTATTTTGTTTTTGTAGAGGTGAGGTTTTGTTATATTGCTCAGGCTGGTCTTGAACTCCTGGGCTCAAGCAATCCTTCCACCTCGGCTTCCCAAATTACTGGGGTTACAAGGGTGAACTACCACGCCCAGTCTCATCTATATTTTCTGAAGTCAAATGATAGAAGGAATGTAATTGAATGACATTTATATTTTTAATTTTTCTCCTTTGCCGGGCAGGTATTTCTAAAATCCTACTGGCAACTTGGTGATTGAGTAAATATGTCTTTTGGAACAGTTACTTTATGAATAAGATCAACAATCTACTAGAATTTTTTAAAGAAAAAAATCTTTTGAAATCTATCAGTCTTTATTCTAGTTAGCATTGATTTGAACTTTTCCAGACATGTTATTATAAATTCATTGGCTGTAATTACATGTATATTATTTGCTCTATCTTGTTTATGTTGAGAACAACAATTAGTGCCTTCTAATGTTCAAGTGGGCTTGGCCTAGCCATTGTCACTTTTAAGTGGCTGGTGGACTTTGGTGGCTTTCTCCTAGGAAAGACTGCTAGCCAGATTTTATCTGACCTCATGCTAGGGTCTAGTTAAATATTTTATTTTATTATAGAGTTGGAGGAGTACAGATAATTATTCTACTTTTAGAATCTTAAAATTGTAATAAAATGTCTTGGGTTTGGAGTTTTAAAAATATATTAAGTGTCAAAATGTAGAAATCTTTGATGATAATAACTTCTGAAATCAGATAGAAACTAAGTCTCTGGTTTCATGTACCCAGTCATAACAGGATACAATATGTTTCCCACTCAATTTCTTGCCAGTATTGTAAGTCCCTGTTTGTTGCCCAATCCTTAATTATTCAAGAGTTATTTATGATATGCAAAATCAAACTGAGAAACTAGAAGTTACTGAAAGCTGTGAATTCATGAGAGATTAGTGAGCTGATCATTTCAGTCTTTAACAGCAAATGCTCTTTTTCAGCTCCAGATAATTTGTCTAAATATTGAGGTACTTAAAAATTAAGAGACTGGGCATGGTGGCTCGCACCTACAATCCCAGCACTTTGGGAGACCAGGGTGAGAGGATTGCCTAAGCCCATGGGTTTGAGACCAGTCTGAGCAACTTAGCAAGACCTCATCTCTACAATAAATCAAAAAATTAGCCAGGCGTGGTGGCATGTGCCCGTACTTCCAGCTACTTAGAAGGCGGAAGCAAGAGGATCGTCTGAGCCCAGCGGGTCGAGGCTGCAGTGACCAGGAGTGTGCCGCTGCACGCTAGCCTGGGCAAAAGAGTGAGACTCCCAACTCAAAAAAGAAAAAAAAAAAATCAAGGAATCTTTTTTTTCCCCAGTCAGTAAACAACAGAGAAAGATTAGTTGCATAACCTGATTTTTAAATGATTCATGCCTGAAGTAATCTGGTTGTGGATGGGAGATATAGTTGACACGATTTAAGTGGTTTGAAGTGATACATGCATAGATGGAATGATTGTATATGTAGAAAATCCTAAGGAATCTACTTACTTCCCCTCTCTCAGAAAACCTAGAACTAATAAGTACATTCAGCATAATCAAAGGTTATGGGATCAGTATATAAAAATCAATTGCATTTCTATATATAGCAACAAAAAATGAGAAAAAAAGAAATATTTACAGAAAACCATAACATTCTTAGGAATGAATTTAACCAAAGATAAGCAAGAACCCTACACAAAAAACTACAAAGCAATAAGAGAACACACAGTAGCCAAGAGAAATGTTAAAAGGACTTAAATAAATAGAGAAACATATCATGTTCATTGATAGGAGATTCGATATTATTAATATACCATTTCTCTCCAATCTGATTCACAGACTCAATATAATCACAACCAAAATCCTGGTAGGCTTTTTTTTTCTTTTTTTAGAAATTGATAATCTGATTCCAAAATGTACACGGCTATACAAAGGACCTAGATTAACCAGAATACTCCTGGAAAAAGAAAATCCCCAAAGTTGGAAGACTTAAACTACTGGATTTGAAGACTTAGCATAAAACTATAATATTAAGACACTGTAGTATTGGCATAAGAATAGACAAAGAAATCATTGGAACAGAACAGAGTGCAGAAATAGTTTTACACGTATATGGTCAATTTATTTATTTTTTTTAATTGTGGTTTTAAAAAAAAAAAAACAACTGGGCCCTGTCGCTCAAGCCTGTAATCCCAGCACTTTGGGAGACAGAGACAAGAGGATTGCCTGAGCCCATAGGTTTGAGACCAGTCTGGGCAACATGGCAAAGCGTCTTCTCTACAATTAATCAAAAAAATTAGCGGGACATGGTGGCGCATGCCTGTAATTCCAGCTACTTGAAAGACTGAGGTGGAAGGATCGTCTGAGCCCAGCAGGTCAAGGCTGTGGCGGCTGTGAGCGTGACAGAGTGAGACTCTGACTGAAAAAAAAAAAAAGCACATAAAATTTGCCTTCTTAACTAGTTTAAGGATACATTTCAGTAGTATCTGTACATTGTAGTATATTTACATTGCTTTGAAACAGATCTCCAGAACTTTTTCATCTTGCAAACCTAAAACTCTATAACCATTGAATAATAGCTTATCTCCCCTGTTACCCTGATCACCATTCTGCTTTCTGTTTCTATGAATTTGACTACTTTAGGTACCTAATATGAGTGGAATTATGCAACGTATCTTTTTTTTTTTTTTTTTGGAGTGGGAGTCTCAGTCTGTCGCCAAGGCTGGAGTGCCTGCTATGCTCAGGTGATCCTTCCACCTTAGCCTTCCAAGTAACTGGAACCACAGGCATGCGCCACCAATCCCAGTTAATTTTTTGATGTATTATACAGACAGGTCTCACCAAGTTGTCCAGGCTGGTCTCGAACTCCTGTTCTCAGGTAATCCTCTACCTCCCAAAGTGCTGGAGTTACAAGTGTGAGCCACCATGCCCAGCCAAGGCAAAGATTTCTTAGAACACAAAGTTGCAGTAACCATTAAAGAAAAAACATTGATAAATTGGACTTCATCAAGATTAAAAATATCTGTTGATTAAGTGATATATACATTTACATACATGATTAAAATACATGGAATAAAAACACCCAGGATATACACTGCCTCATTTTAGGCCAGCAAAACAGTTTAAAATTTGTATTTTCTTCAATGTAGCTGTATGTTATGGGGAAAAAAATTAGCCTAAATCCTGTTGAATTGTATTATATGCCTTGTAAAGATAAAACATCGACATGGGGAGAAAGAACTTTAAACTTCATGGTAAAACTCACTAGACAACCTGTAAGTTTCCTTCCAGGGACTAGTTTTGGACCTGATAGTGAGATCTCAGATCACTTTTTTCCTTCAACCAATGTTTATTGAGTAACTGGTATGAAACCTCAAAGTTTACAATCCTACAAGGGGGACTTGTGAAAAGTTTATTGTAAAATCATGAACTCTCATTTAATTTCCTTGAACCTTGCCCATCTGCAGTATGGGGGTAGTACTTTATTTTTCTATCAGATGTGAAATGACTTAGCAAAGTTGAAAAGTGTTGTATAAACACAAGCTAATGCTTTTTAAGATCATATAATACAATAAGAATACGCTCTTTTTTTTTTTTTTTGCAAGAAAAATCCTGATTTAAATTGTAGTTTTTGCTGCTCTAGAGCCAGTAATTGATCCAGCGATACTTTGTAGGAGGGAATTTGCTGGGGCATATATTTTACTTTTGATTAAATTCCACATTTCTAAATTGGATGTCTTATGCAATTAGGGTTAAATGCCTCTTTTTTTTTTTTTTTCCTCTCACATTTAAAGAAAAATGCTCTCCTCTGCAGGATTGGGCTCTGTGACTGTTATAATTGTAACTATAGCAGGTCAGTGATAGTGCAGAACAGCTTGGGACGTTGCCAGCTGCCAGGCCAGACTGGTGTGGCTCCAGAGAAAGATTACACTCTTTAAAATTCACTGAAACAAGTTTAACATTGCAATCAGGTAGGGAGATTATCAGGAAAATCCTAAGACTCAAAGGAACCTTAGAGGTCATTTAATTCAACTCCTGTTAGAGATGCTGTTGGCCTTCCGAATCCGTAAGG